CACTGTACTTGAACAGAATGTCCTGCTCTGTGTCCAGCTGGCTCTTTCCTCACAGGGGTGTTTTGCTGGTGGACCGGCCAGTCCCAGCTGCGGTCAGACTGGTGGACAAGCTCCGTAGATGCCCAGGTTTGTGTTGTGCTTGATCCTCCTGTCTTTCAGCAGCGGCTGTAAGTCCACCAGTGGGCAGTGGATCGGTGAGGATTGTGTGTGGGTCTGTGTGCCTGGGCTCACGTGTTCATCTGTGGACGGGTGTTTCAGAATGTCCCGCCGGTGTGAACGAGTGGGTGTTTTTCTCTGGGTGCCCCTGCGAGACATCGACCTGAAGCCACGCCGGACGTGTGCGCCTCCGTCGCTTCTCCAGACGCTCAGGAGCTCTTCAGGAAGAGAGCCGGCAGAGGTCTGAAGTGGATCTCCTGGACTCCCCCCTGACCGGTCTGCTGCCAGTCCTGGCCTGGACTCTGGGATTCGCTGTGGGAGGTGAGTCTTGGATCAGGAGTTGAGCCAGCAGTGACCGTTCAGACCCAGCAGAATTCTCCATGCATAATATGTATAATAATATAATAAGACTGTATAATATGTACATGGCGCGCTCCAGTGTGTTTTTTTAATATTCCGTTGCAGGACTGCACTACCGTAGAAAACCACCAGGTGGCGCAGTGAAGCATCTGGGCTGCACCTGGGAACACCTGGTTTCTCATCCCGGTCAGTGCTCGGCTCCGCAGGGACAGTGTTCTTCCCAGTATAGAATTGAATTTGTTTACTCTTTTCACGTTTGTTACCTTCATGTCGTGCATGACGGTATGTTACGTATTTAAAAAGAAATTTTTGGTTCACAAAACAAAATTACTTCGCTGGATATATATATAAGAAAATAGTTTTATAGCTGGCGATGTATGCGGTATGAGGACTATCCATGTTTTGTGTTCATGCTGATTTCAGCAGGAAGTAGTGAGGAAATTGAGATTTTGATGATGAGAACACATGAATATGTTCACGCACACCGTACTGTAGTGGCTTTAAAACCCTACAGCGTTGTTTCTGCGTGTCTGGATATTCATGTGATCCGGTTGTGTGGTACGTCAGGAATTGGAGTCCTTGTTAGTTGATTTTAAAACTACACGACGCACTGTGAAGCGAATACATGCCGTTTTAAAGATCGTGTGCCGTCTCGTGAGGATCACCTTGAATTGCACAGGCGATGTGCTGTAGGGAGTAACGTTTGTGCGGCTTCTTTCCAGAGCAGGGGTGTCCAAGCTTTTGTTATTGGGGGGCCAGATGGAGCGGGTGCCCACAGGCTACCTCTAATAATAAAAATAAACGAATAATACCAGATATAAGAGCATTCCAATAACCACATTGCCTTTTCATTGAGGGGACTAGCCTGATGGGTGGGTTTTAAGCATTGTGTACTGTAAGCTTGGAATGACCTGTGTAAATCATGATATCATCTCATTTGAATACCCCTCTAAGGTTTGACTGATTTTCCTCACTAGTGACGACTCTACGAGTGGGAGCAGTGACGCTGCGTCTTGGGCTGAAGTCGGGTTTGTCAGTGTTGTCAGCAGAGATCCGGAGCTCATCGCAGACACCCTTGTCTCCGGACTCGGGGAGAAGCGATTCGGCTGGCATCTCCTGCCCTCGCCGTCAGCTTCTCCTGCTTCCTCCTGCTTGCCAGCGTCACTGTGCAGAGTTAAAGTTTCGAAGAGGGTAGAGAGGAGGAGAGGGGGTAGCTGATGGGTTTCGAGATGTGGTCTTACGTGATGCCGGCACCTGGTGTTCGAAGTAGGAGCTGCATTTTTTACTTACTATCGGGCTGAATCTGATTATAGTTCTGAATGAACTCGTGGGCCGTTTCAGTAACAGTGGCTGCAGTTTGGATACCCCTGATCTAGAGAGAGACAGTTTGATTTATATTTTTTATCATGATGTATTTCACTCATACTGCACTGATATGGCTTTCAAACCCTACGCTATTTCGCTGAGACTGACTCGACCAGCAGCGCACATGTGTGCGACTCACAATATTGGGCGATACACAGCAGAACCCCAGTTCTATTCGCCGTTGTATTAACTTACAAAAGATACCAGTTTCAAAAGAAATCTGAAATCTTGTTTTAAAATAACGAGGACTCATAAACCCTACGGTATTTCACACCTGCGTATCAGATCATGTTTTTATGTTACGGAGGGTGTAATGTAGATGGGACATTTGTGCCCATTTAAATGTACAATTACTATTGGTTGAATTTAACTGATTGGGGAAAAAATAAAACCATGAATGTGGCATGTGCAAGAGTTTGGGCACCCTTCGAGTTGATGAATATTTTTATTTTTAAGTCTTCAGAAACCTGATTGACTTCTTATCCCCTAAATTAAGCCAGGTGAAGATAATTCAAGAGTTGAATAAATACTCTCTGGACGTGGTGCCGACTCGAAGCAGCTGACAGAGGACTGGAAAATGAAGATCATGGACTCCTACAGAGCAAAAGGTGGCTGTGAAGAGGTATCTAAATACTTCCGGTTTGGGATGTCCACTGTCGGGAACATCGTTCAGAACTGGGAGTTAAGAGGAACTGTTGGAAGTCAAGGAAGACCCAGGAGCATCTCTGATAGAACTGCTGGTAAACTGGTCAGATCCCACAGATCACAGCACAGCGCCTGCAGAGGGGTTCAGCTGAGACTGGAGTAGTGGTCCACAGGTCCCCAGTACAGCGCTGCTCACCGCGTGGGAGAGCTGTCAGCAGGAAACCTTCCCTACGACCTCCTCACAGTGCAGAGCCATACTTAGACGAGCCAGAAACCCTTTGGAACAGAGTGCTGTGGGCTGATGAAACAAAAATTGATCTTTTTGGCCACAACCAGAAAAGATTCACTTGGAGGAAAACAGGTGAGGCATCTGAAGAATAGAGCAGCTTGCCAAGCGTTCAGCATGGTGGTGGATCTGTTGTGCTCTGGGGTGGTGTGGCAGCCAGTGGCGCAGGGAATACTGTTCGGGAGGAAGGAAGAAAGGATTCAACTCCATCCCAGCAAATCCTGGAAGCTGATGTCCCAGAGTCAGAGAAGGAATTGAGGCTGAGAAGAGTTTGGATGTTTTAGCAAGACCGCGATCCAAAACATACCTCAAAACCAACCATGACGTTCTCACAGGAACGACAGATGAGGGTGGTGGAGTGGCCCTCACAGTCCCCAGACCCGAATGTTATTGAAAATCTGTGGGGAGGTCTCCAACACGCCGTGCCTGCAAGAAGACCTGAGGCTATTTCTGAGCTGGAAGAGTGGGGAGAAAACTCCTTGAGCAAGAACAGAAAGACTCCTAGATGGCTAAGAGAAATGTTTGTAAACTGGAAGAGGTGCTACAAAGTACTGACTGACCGGGTGCCCACACTACTATGCCACATTTACCATTTTGTTTAAATAAACAGTAGGCGTGCCTTAAAACGTGCAGGAATACGTCAGGTGTACGTCTGTACCCTGCAGGGGGTTGTGTTGACGTCTTTTCACTTCGAGCTGCTGTGGTCCCTGCACTTGGATCCCAGGGGTGCCCAGACTTGTACCAGCAGCTGTGTGATAAATCGGCTGCTTCGTGACTTCATCACCTCTCGGGAGCGCTTAACCTCAGGGCTGCAGGATCACCGCGTATCTGCGGCACGTGTAGTTTCCAGTTGTACCTTACCTCCCAGTTACCCATGCCCAACGTGCCACAGGCAGATCGCATGAAGTCCCTTCCACAGATGTGCCGAAACCACAGCGCAGGGTTTTAAAGCCACTGCAGTCCAGTGCGTGTGAAATCGGTTTCTTAAGAGAAAATACGGACTGTTTTAACGTGGTATATAGAGTATATAGAGACCGTGATGAGCCCTAATAATAAACTGTTTGTATGGGAACAGGTAGTAGGTTTATTCCTGTGCTGAAAAGAGAAGAAAGAAAACAGAACGTTTCGGCCGTGGAGCCTTCTTCAGGTTTTTTTTGTGTTTTTTTTGTCGATCCAGCTGAGTAATTCAGGTTTGAAAACGGCCCAGCTTGCATTCTGAAAGGTAGAACTTGTGCTTTGACCAGGAATTGAAACTCGGACAAAATGCTTCCCGAATATCCACAAGTGAACACATTAGTGAAATCAACGCAGATGTTTGCAAGAAAGGGGAATACTGTACCACTACCAGCTCTACAGATATATTTAGATCCATAAATTAACATCATTAATGAAGTTCAGGAACTATTTTTATTTTCAGCTAACAGTTTCTTTAGTTCCATGATTCCAATATTAATATTGCCCGTCAGGTTGACGTAGAAAACTACTAGAAACTTTCCTTTACAATAATGACAGCGAGAATTCAGAGAAAATGTTAGAATCTTGTAGCGTTTATATAGTTAGAACGAGCACGTCAGGTCTTCCACAATAACCACAGGAAGTGTAGGAGTTCAAGACTTTGATGCAGAAGATGTTCATGAAGGTGGAGTATTGTGGGGTGCTTTATTATTCTTGGCTACCACTACCAGGTATTCATAGTCTGTATAATATATTTATATTCATAAATTAATATAGTTTTTGACGTTCAGAGATGTTATCCTTCTGTTATTTTAATTTTCTGCTTCTACAATTTCCCTTTAATTGCAAAATCCAATTTTAACATTTCATATGAAGTGGATTTAAAGATGATAACCAACACACCAGAAGCGTCACCTGTCGATCGTCTCTGGCCAGTGAATCACACTCACTGCCACGCTGAGGTACGGAGAACTAACTCTCTGTGAGTGGCTGCGTCTCTCAGTGCTCCAGTGGGCAATGGGCTGTGTGCCTGGGCTCATGTGTTCATCTGTGGACGGGGGTTTCAGAATGTCCTGTCGGTGTGAACTAGTGGGTGTTTATCTCTGGGTGCCCCTGCGAGACATCGACCTGAAGCCACGCCGGACGTGTGCGCCTCCGTCGCTTCTCCGGACGCTCAGGAGCTCATCGGGAAGAGAGCCGGCAGAGGTCTGAAGTGGATCTCCTGGACTCCCCCCTGACCGGTCTGCTCCCAGTCCTGACCTGGACTCCGGGATTCGCTGTGGGAGCTGGGTCTTGGATCAGGAGTCGCTGGGAGACGCACAACGATCGTTCTGCACCAGTAACCCCACCTGGGAGACCCAGCGATCGTTCTGCACCAGTAACCCCACCTGGGAGACCCAGCGATCGTCCTGCACCAGTAACCCCACCTGGGAGACCCAGCGATCGTCCTGCACCAGTAACCCCACCTGGGAAACCCAGCGATCGTCCTGCACCAGTAACCCCACCTGGGAGACACAG